TTTCATGTCCTCTATGCTCTAACTACGAAAATATTTGATTTACAAATGAGGAATCCTACTTCATGGAATTTCATTTATCACGGTAGGGTCTAGAATTGATTAGCCGCAATAAACGAGGGTTCACTGTAACTCTCAACTAAAGCACAGCAGAGATCTATAAGGGCCAGAAAGTCTGAGTCAATGGTGGTGAAAAAATATTAGAGTATGAGAAGGGTGACTATGATATATAACCAATGTCATTAAACCGTACATGTAGATATTCTTGAAATGGGTGTATGTTTTGTTTATATTTTCATTAGAAAAACAATGCCAAATAGAGTTTTTCAGTACTATTTAAATTAAGTTGTTAAAATGAAAAGGTATATTTTTAAAGTAAGAACTGAAACGTGGTTATTTGTTTCACTTCCAAGGAAATGCCTGGAATTTTTAAAGAAGTTTCTTTGTTAAAGAAGTGGTGAGGCAACTCTAGTGTTAAAAGGAGGAAGATATTTTCTGGCAGTGCTATTCTAATGATAAATCAATGAAATGATTTGTGCTCAACCTCAGCTTGCCATTTTTGTGTTGAATTCTATGGAAGCAGTTTTGTACTAATTGCCTTTGTGCAAATGTTCTATCTGGAAACACTGAGAGAAGATGACATTTTAGTTATTTAATTTTTTAAAAATTTTAAATAATTTTATTGGGGGTTTGTACAGCTCTTAGCACAATCCACACATACATCCATTTTCAAGCCCATTTGTACATTTGTTGCCATCATCATTTTCAAAATATTTTCTTTCTACTTGAGCCCTTGGTATCAGCTCCTCAGTCTGTCCCCCCGCCCCTGAACCCTTGATAATTTATAAATTATATTTTTCTTGTCTTACACGGACCAATGTCTTCCTTCACTCACTTCTCTGTTGTCCATCCTCCTGGGAGGGGGTTGGTTATATGTAGATCGTTGTGATTGGTTCCCCCTTTCTTGCTCCACTTTCCCCTTACCCTCCTGGTATCGCTATTCTCAGTATCGGTCCTGAGGAGTTTATCTGTTCTGGATTTCCTGTTTCCAGCTTTTATATGTACCCATGCACATGCTCTGGTCTAGTAAGGTAGAATTGGTCATGATAGTGGGGGAAAGGAAGCATTAAAGAACTAGAGGAAAGTTGTATATTTCATCGGTGCTATACTGCGCCCTGGCTGACTCATCTCTTCCTTGTGACCCTTCTGTAATGGGATGTCCAATTGTCTACAGATGGGCTTTGGGTCTCCACTCTGTACTCCCCTTGGTTCACATTGATATGATTTTTGGTTCTGGGTCTATGTTGCTGGATACCTGATCCCATTGACACCTCATGATCACACAGTTGGTGTGCTTCTTCCATGTGGACGTTGTTGCTTCTCAGCTAGACTGCTGCTTGTATATCTTCAAGCCTTTAAGACCCCAGACACTATCTCTTTTGATAGTCGGGGACCATCAGCTTTCTTGACCACATTTGCTTATGCACCCATTTTGTCTTTATCGATTGTGCCGGGAAGATGAGTATCACAGAACGCCAGGTTATTATAACAAAGTGTTCTTGAGTTGTGGAAGTACTTGAGTAGAGGCCCAATGAGAAGATGACGTTTTATGAGAAAG